TTCACAAGTTTGGTTAGTGTTAGGGTAAGCCCCCCCCCCCTTTCCTTTTTTTAGCAATAACTAAATAATCATTCAGCCCAAGTTAACGCACTCCTCTAAAGATAACCGAAGTTAACTCACTCGAAGATCAAAGGAAAAATTACCATTCGTGTTACAATTGATATATAACAAACTTCCCACACTGTATCAGCTTGTTAAAAAATGGCAAAAAAAATAAGTCATTTAATCAGTAATAAGACGGGGAAAATTTTTAAAAAAAAGGGCTTATTCTAATCTGGATACGGTTTTCATTTTGATCACAAAAATGCTTCTGTTTAACTTATGTAAATCCCATGAAGGTTTGACAAAGTTATAATAAATGACTGAAAAACTGTAACCTTAATCTGTATTTAAATGTTAACTGAAAAAAAAGAGAGTCCATTCAAAAGTTAAATACGGAAAAATGAAAATAAATACTTTCAAAATTTTGCTCTGGATACTGTCTTTTGGTCATAAAAAAGCTTCTAACATAAAGATTTGACAAAATTATTGATGTCTATAAAATCTTTAATCACAGACTGAACATAAATGTTGACGCCGCGGACGACGACGATGACGAAATCTAGGATCGCTATTGGTTTGTTTCTCTCTTTTCCCTCCGTAAAATATTCTGTATGCTTACGGAATATACAAATGTAACAATAATAATGTCAAATAACAGCCGGGTACCAGAAGTGGATCACTGTGTCTCGCTTTCGCGACATAAATATCGCATTCTCGACAAAATTGACCAAAGTCTCAAAACTCCAGTAAAAGCTCAAACAGACGATAGAGCACGGTCAAGATGATATAACGACAAATAATCCTACCAAGTACGAGAGATTTATGTCAAACGGTTTCTGAGTATTGATGTGTTTCGGACGGACATATACCATAACCATATCCCCCGTGCCGCGACACGCGGGGGACAATAACATTTAATCCAAGGAAGTCTTGTCAGCTTCCCGCAGCACTGGCGTTGTAAGACAACATTCATCCAGCTAACCTAATCATCAAGAAAAAAATACGAATTTATACATCCAGCAATACTGATTGCTGAAAAACTATATGTCCTATTGAGTAATTGATTGAAATTACTCTTTTTTAAAGAAGCGGGTGATTTATACTTGCCAAATTGATAGAAAGTTGATTATTGCTTAAGAATATGTTGCATAAAGATGTCTTTGAGTTTTAGTAATTTACGCAATATCATCATCTTGGTTTTTTTTATTCACATCCACTTAATTCTTCGAGTCTTGCTGTATTGTTTTTTTTTTTATTGTGGAATGTGAATGCAGATCTTGAATGAGAACAATATATAATTATATTTGTGTTTATGTGAGGGCTTTCTCCACAGATTTATTGACAGGTCCATCCCCAAATTGTTTGAAGTTTCATGAAATAAGATTTTAGAGGAAGAAAGTTTATATTTAGTGTTATCGTGAATTTCACCTAGGTATGGGCGTTGTTAAGAGTGGTTTAAATCATTTAGTTTCTGTAACGATAATGATTTATCCTATTTCTTATAGTGAAAGACTCTGCTACATGTTATAAGTGATACGGTAAAACAGAAAATCAATGATAATATGCATTGTTGAGAAGTCGATTTGTAAATTAGCTTTTTTAAGATGTTGGCATAGAAGGTGCTGTTTCTTTTAACCTAGAAACAGTCGATTTTGTCTCCATTATTAGATTAATCCTGGCAATTTTGACAGACCAAAAAATCAAAATGTTAACTCAGTCAAACATGACTGGGGGTATTATCTCATTTGTCCAAGGCAATGGATGATATCCATCATGTAGAAAAGTCGATTTTTTTTATGTACGTGTTGTCTAAAAAAAATTATAAATTTTGATATAAAGTGTGTCATATTGCCGTTTTGTAGAGACATTAGGTAAAAGAAAATATTTAACACCAATGGTTCGAGTTTTCCGATGGTCATAGGTGTTTAAATGCAGTATAGACTACGAGAGAAATGTACCTATTTTTAGAGTTTCTGTTGAATTTAAGACTTGGGTTAGAGCCATATTTGAATTTTCTAGAATAATCCTTGAACAGAACTCTTGGTTAATGTATCATGAAACATGGCGGCATTAAACAATGCGTTTGCCAGTCTGTTAGGTTAAAAATAAAATGTAGTCTCTTCTTTTTGACAGTAGTACGTCTTTTTATCAGATGTAAATTGGAAAAAAGTGTTGGACAAATTGGCTTCTTTATGTCATCAAGAGCATGCTAATGAGCGTCGCATCTAGGACTTGTCTATCGGTCCAAGGTCGCATTCACCTGGTATAGAAATCTCTATTTTACTAGTTTTTTTTTAATAATTAGTATCTTCTTGGGTCTAAACTGTCAAAACCCTTACCTAATGTCTACTAAGTATATCAATTTTGTTAATTTTGAGACATCTAACTATGTTTTATGATACGCACCGCAGTTCCTCGTGTGATTGACTGTACAATTTATTTTTTTGGATGTTAATCAATATTTCATGATGAAAAAAATAATCATATTTAAGGATCTTAGAAAAGAAAATCAATTCCATCTCTAAATAAATCTACAAACTTTTCATCTGTAATCACGGGTTAAGCTTTAAAACAATTCATTGATTGTTGCTTTGACGTCCAGAGGCAAGCATTTCATGTAAATTCAGAAAGAGATTAAAGTGGTCAATCAAAGTTGTTTGCAAAGTAGGTCAAATAAGGACGAAGGGCGGGCAAGTAAAACTTTCACTTGAAAAAGAGTGGTTGTGCTTAATTGGAGCAGAAATCTTGGCGTTCAACACATCGCCTACGGATCCATATTGTTGTTGTAATGATTCTTTAACATGGATTACCAACCAGCAAACGTCAACATCATATAACGATTCCATTTCAATATTCAACTTTTCATTTACTTATAAGTTGATGTCTTGAAATATTTTCATGGACTCCTTCGATTTAAATCATAATACTTAAAATCATCTGTATGCATATTACAAATATGGACAAAATTTATTTCTCATACAGCAAAGGTTTCATTCATGTAAATTCATTTGCTAGTTCAAGTAAACAACATCAAAATGACTTTTGTTGTTAGAATAGATAGGTTTCGATTGAAACAATTTGAGCAAGAGTTACTTCCCTTTTGTCCCCTTTGTGCAAATTCCTTCATAAATCAGCCAAATTCAACTTGTTATACTGACCACTAGACTATAGCAAAAGGTTTTCTGAACCAGTTTTATTTCTTTTAGCCTTGCTTAATTCATCATTTCCTTCTAGTAAGGATATGTGTATTGCATGTATCAAGTTGGTTAGTCAGATAAGAAAATCAATCGTTTATACCTCCAAAATGGCGGACAAGGGGAATAACTCAAACTCAAATTCTGTCATTTGAAACCTTTCTATAGGGACTACTTTTACTAATGTTCTAAGTGTGAGTGGGTGAATTGGTGGTTTGACACCTATTGATAGCTTGAACGGTGTCTCCATTTTGTTATTTTGCATTTTTTTTGTATTTCCTGATTTTAATTGACATACAATGAAAATACGGATTTTGGGTTATTAAAATTTGCTGTTACAAAATTATTTAAAATTAAGGAATGTATCTCCCTCATGCAAAGCTCTGATTCCTTGCTTAGCTTTGGCTATACTTTTTTGTCCTGATTGGGTTATAGCTCTTCATGTTTTAATAAGCTTTGGATTTTCAAATATTTTGGCCCCGAGCATCACTGAAGAGACATTGATTGTCGAAATGTGCATCTAGTGCAGAAAAATTGGTACCATTTATGTTATTACTACCACTGGGTCAATGCCTCTGCTGGTGGACTGATAGTCCCCGAGGGTATCACCAGCCCAGTAGCCAGTACTTTGGTACTGGCATGAAAATACGGATTTTGTGTTATTAAAATTTGCTGTTACAAAATTTCAGAAATTATTTAAAATTAAGGAATGTATCTCCCTCATGCAAAGCTCTGATTCCTTGCTCAGCTTTGGCTATACTTTTTTGTCCTGATTGGGTTATAGCTCTTCATGTTTTAATAACCTTTGATTTTTAAATATTTTGGCCCTGAGCATCACTGAAGAGACGTTGATTGTCGAAATGCGCATCTGGTGCAGAAAAATTGGTACCGTTTATGTTATTAAGCAAAGCTGAGAATTTTTTAACAGTAATACTGAATAAATATATATGATATACTTTCTGTCTACACAAAATATTTATCAGATGTTTGAACAGTGGTAAACTATAGCTACTGATGCTTTAATTAAGCAGTACAAAGTATATTGAAAAAAGTGTTGAAAATTCCCAATATGGACTCTTCTATTCGACAATGAGAGGTAAATTTTGCTCAAAATCAATTTAGGGAAGACAAACTGGGTATTACTGGAAATCCCTCTTTTTTTTCACATGCAGACATAACTATCTAGATAACAAGAATGCATATCAGTTTTTTTTTTGAAAGCTGTTTCTGTATAACTTATGTCAATCACTACAGAAGCTTCTTCAATCTGAATCATTGGAACGATTATTGAAAAGTTGAACCAAATACACTGACCACCATTTTGACAATAAGTCTTGACTGAATGTTTCTGTAACATGACATATTAGTTGTGAATTGTTGACAAATATCATTTAATCTATACAAACTAATCACCTGCTTAGAAAGCATTGTTTTATTCATCTGTAGTAATTCTAATAACATAAACGATACCAATTCCCAAATGTGCATTTCGACAATTAATGTTTCTTCAGTGCTGTTCGAGGTCAAAATATTTGAAAATCCAAAATCTAATACAAATGTTGAAAATCTAATAAAAAAAAAAAAACTACATAAAGAAGAGCCAAATCTAAGCAAGCTAAGTTTATATTCCTACAAATAACTCAAGGATCAAAATTCTTTGAAGAAGGCTGTGTCTTAAGATGTCAGAAAGTAATTTTTCTGTTAAATTTGGTGACTAATAGATTCTAAGTTGTTCATCAAATCAAAATAAGAAGAAACTGTATCTTTTCATTTCAATAAATATTTATTATTTACTATTATCATATATACAAAATATTAAATCTAAATGTTAATGTACAATATCTTACAAAATAAATGTTTATCACAAAATGAATGAATAAACTATATCTTTATAGGACGGTATATGATAATCTTGCTGTAAGACAATTTTTGATTCCTGGACTTTAATTTTCTAAAGTCTGTCATTCTGAATTCAAGTATAACAGATTCCTTTATCACTTCTGGTACATTTACATTTCATTTGCCTGGAAATCAATCACACTTGAATTGTCAATGACAAAATACCATTATATGCAACTGGCATCTGATAACACATCAGATGTGGAAGAATAAAATATTAGAGAACTACTGAGCATGTATTAATGATAAGAAGATAGAGAGCTAACCTTGAGGATCTTCATTAAGACTAGTAACAAGCTAAGTTTAGTCTACAAATTACTCAAGGCTCAAAAAAAATAATTTTTCTGATAAATTTGGGTGACTCATAAATGAATCTTATAGTGCATGTATATCCTTCCTCAGCACCAGGTCAGATAACTGTCAAAGATGAACCACATTAAAGTTCTCTAATATGGCGTAGCTCTGAAATTAAAAAAAAACAAAACATATCTATTAATTTGAAATTCAATATTTTGAACAATTTCACTAGGTTAAGCAGTATTTATAGAATATTGTTGTCTTTAGCGTTGACCATGATTGATTGATAGCTCAATCACATACTATCAACAACAGCTGAAGTGCTATCAGACAAAGGAAAGGATTTCCCAAACAATTTATTTTACTTCTGTGTCAGAATAAAGAATCCTAATTATCTAAGAACATTCTTACTAAAGTATATTTTTATTTCACATAATGAAAAAATGAAATATGTACCATAAATGTCTTATCATTTTATTTTTGTGTTGTTTCATTTATCATTTTCCTGCTTATCTTTATTACAGAAATTTCTCCAAGAACTGAAAAGCGGCTAGCTTCAATGCTTTCCATTCATTTCAGGGTTTTAAAAAATGACTGATCAAAAGCTGAAGCACTTTTGTAATATACTTCACCAAAAGTTGATTCTTTTGGTGGCAAGTAGGCAAATTAAGAAGTAATATCAACAATTACTGGCAAGTTTTGAGAGAAAACTGTTTTTTTCTCTTCAATTGTAAAATCATAAATGCATGTGTTTGGTAGTATTGATACTTCCATTTTGATAACATGTTTTCATACATACCTTGCAAATGTGATCATAGATATAATTCCAAAGATGAGTTCCAGTCCTATCAACACAACCTGGATTGATGCTAATATTACATCAACTCTCAAGACATAGGTCTGCCACAGTATTAAATATAAAGCTCCAAGAACAGCAGGTATACTTAGTAATATAGATACTAATACACCAACTATTCTTTCTGTTAGGTTACCTTTCTGAGCTAAAAAAAAATAAAGATCCATATAAAACAAATACAATTCTTCTTCTGAAAATGAATTAATAACTACAAAATGTTTATTGAAGCTGTGAAAATGAATAGAATATATGGATTAACTGCTAATGGGACTGCAACCCAACAACACCAAAAAATATGACATCTTGAGGTCAATATAAGGCCTTTAATAATACATTAGTTTCTAGAATTTAAGCTTTCTTATTTGTTAGGCAAATCAATGATTGCTATAAGTAAACAACAAATACCATTAGGACAAAAAAGAAATAACTAGCTGTAAAACAACATTTTATTAGAAAGATTCTGTAAATTTTAACTAGTTACAGTCATTGATTAAAGAGGAATTGTAGATACAAGAATGCCTACGCCTACCCTATCTTATAGAAATTGCAAAGTACATGGTTTACTGTGGAAACCCAAAAGATCGTTTTGACCCCCAAAAAAATAATGAGGTGTACAAAATATTATGAGGTACTTAAGATTCTCTAAAAAATGTTTAACAGTTGCAATGCAATATCCTGGAAGATGAACATTCAGTAACTATCTTTGCTCATTGTTGAAGGCAGTACTGTGACCTATAGTTGTTTACATCCTCATCCTCTATCTTTGGTGGATATTTGTCTCATTGGCAATCATACCACATCTCCTTATTTTTATATCAATGAGTACTGTGTATCCTTGCTTCAGAAAGCTGGATTATTAAAACTCGCATTTTGATCTTATCACACATGCACATTATCTATAATTCAATAATATAACATCTACATATCTAGGGGGCCTCGGTGGCAGAGTGGTCTAAGTACCGGGGGTAGTTACTACTGTAATCACTAGCCAGTCAACACTGAGGTTGTGAGTTCGAACCCCGCTCGTGGCCGAGTGGTCTAAGTACCGGGGGTAGTTACTACTGTAATCACTAGCCAGTCAACACTGAGGTTGTGAGTTCGAACCCCGCTCGTGCGGGTGCACTCGACTCCAATCTTAATTGACTAGGATTGTCAGTTTTTCTATCAAAGGTCGGTGGTTTTCTCCGGGCACTCCGGCTTCCTCCACCATAAAAACTGGCCGCCACGAAATAGCCCAAAAGCGGTGCTTAAAAGTGGCGTTAAAACACCAAAAATCAAATCAAAATCAAATCTACATATCTAAATAATAAAAACAATATATTTCTAAACAGTGTTAAAATTAAAATTCTAGTAAATAAGTTACCAAAGAAAATTCTGAGAGCTTCAATTGCTGCTAGCAGGAAAACCAGTATGACTTCAGCAGGTAACACATTTTCAGCATAGGGTAATGATTCTCCTAAAATAATATCATTACTAGTAAAATAATATCATTACTAGTAAAATAATATCATTACTAGTAAAATTATATCATTTTCTATTATTTATTGTTTGTGTATAACATGTTATCAATAGTCCTAAGGTAGACAGACTATAACATGTTATCAATAGTCCTAAGGTAGACAGACACACTGATTTGCTTTTATAAGTTCCATATAAATTTTATTGGTCAGCTTAAAAATCTTTTCAAACATAATACATTAAACAAGCAAAAGCTAAAATTCCAAACATCATTTTGCAAGCAACATGTATCAAAAGTTTAAAAAAACATATGTGTAACCATTTATTCACATAAAGTTTTATTCAACATTAAAAAGAAAAGTGATCATTTGTAGACTGTCATATTGATTTCTAAATAAATTTATAAACAATGTATACTGGTATATGTGTGGTATAAGAATCAATCATGAACACTTACCTTTAAATATGAAAATGAGTATTTCACAAATGAAAAAGAATCCAAAGTACCATCCATTCAAATATAGTAAAACTTGGTATGGTAGTGAAGATCTCTGGAATGTGTTAAGGATTCTTTTTATTGTGAGGACATCTTTAAAATATGTGTACTGTACATGGTGTAACTTCTTCATACATATACTAATTATACTGGGCAATCACTTTTTTCTATAAGGAACATGTTTTGCTCACCTGATATCTTAACATTAAATTAATTTATGAAAATCTTGGCTTTTCTTATTATCACTAATTTGAAATTCCATTCCAGTAAGCAAAAATTAGGCTTCTAGTCTGCAGCATGTTCAGATATCTAAATGTTTTACTTTCAAATTTTCACTATATATATTTTACATAATTCATAAATTTAAACGAACGTATAATTTCTTGGTCTAAAAGTTTTTCCACGATAAAAAATAACATAAAAAAATTGAGTAGCTTGATACTATATTATTGCATTTATAATATGCATAATATGTATATATAAAACATGTATGAATCATATCAATTTCAACAACAAACAGGGGAAAACAAGCAACAAACATCATGAACATCTATTGATCTAGTGTTGTAGTTTCATGTAGGGCTATTCAATAAGAAATTTTCATCTTTATATTACCCACTGATTTAATCACAAGGTCTGTTCCTGGTTGCTACATTAGATTTTCATCCTGTTGAGCAGGTTAAACATTTTCATAAATGAACATGATAAAATATTTGTATATAAATGAATGAGACTTTTCACCTTGAAAGGATACAATTAACTGTATTCTCCCTGAAAAAAAGGCAAATATAATTACGATAATAATTTTTAACATAAATATGAGTATATGCTTTGAACATTTGAAATATATTAATTTATTAAATGCAAACTTCCATCTCTTACTTATTGTATAAAGACCAGTCTATAGTTGAAGACTGTATAAAGACCTCATGTAGACTTTTAGATTTATTTTATTGTTATTTGTGTCTTTGAGTTGCTGTCTCGTTGATCTATATATATATATATATATATATATACAAGTCTAAATTGAAAACAACGTTCAAACCTATGATTGCGTTGGATAAAAACCGCAATTTTTATACGTGTGCATGCAAAACAAATTTCTTGGTAGAGGGGTCTAAATACAGCACAAACAACATTTTCCAAAAGACCAAAAAGTGAAAAAGTATATTTTAACAAAACGCATTTGACTAGCAGGTCGAACAACGGATGTTCTTAAACCCTGCTGACTGCCATGGCGATTGCCAAATAAACGGATCACAGATATAACAAAATGGATCTTAATTTTAATCTAATACCAAATAGAAAACAAAAAACTTGCGGAAAAGATGGTATACCGCAAACATGAGGTGCAAAAATTTGTACACCATATCCGGATTTCGACAATTAATGTCTCTTCAGTGATGTTAGGAATCGAAACGGTATTTGGAAGGCCATATAATTTACCTCAATTTGGGATTGACTCTTGAATTTTGAAGAGTCGAAATAGGATGAACGGATCATATAAACCCGAAGGCAAATATAATACAAGCCCAAACGAAAAAATATAAACAAGTCTAAATTGAAAACAACGTTCAAACCTATGATTGCGTTGGATAAAAACCGCAATTTTTATACGTGTGCATGCAAAACAAATTTCTTGGTAGAGGGGTCTAAATACAGCACAAACAACATTTTCCAAAAGACCAAAAAGTGAAAAAGTATATTTTAACAAAACGCATTTGACTAGCAGGTCGAACAACGGTTGTTCTTAAACCCTGCTGACTGCCATGGCGATTGCCAAATAAACGGATCACAGATATAACAAAATGGATCTTAATTTTAATCTAATACCAAATAGAAAACAAAAAACTTGCGGAAAAGATGGTATACCGCAAACATGAGGTGCAAAAATTTGTATATATATATATATATATACTTCTCATCTTTTATTCCTCTTTACATATATTCTGTATTTTAGTAACAAATACTGCTATAAATGACATTAATAGTTTAAGTGAGGCAAATTCTAAAGAAGAATAAATTCAATTGCCAAATTCGAGCTTTAATTAGGTTCAGTACATCTGCAGTTTGGGTTAATATAGGCTCTGCCACATTATCTCCCTTTTAAAAAATTTCACGAAATTACAATTTCTTACTTATTATTTGGACATGTTGGAAGTGCAATATAAAGCTTTACAGGTGTTATAAAGAAATATTTGAATATTTTTGTTTAAAATGTTTACTGTTATCATGAGTATAAGGGAATATTTTTTTCACTGTAAGTAAAATTCATTGAAAAATTATATTTAGCAGTATTGCTTACTTATAGCTGCAAAGTTTTAGATTGCATTTACAAATAAAAAGTAACAAACTGACATTTCATTAAAAGTTTTCAAAGAGAAATGTTAATTTATTGCCTGATTTAGATATACTCAGATCAAGTTACTGTAAATTCAGAAATTATTGCATGCATTTATTATTGCGAATTTTGAAGAATGGACTAAAATGCGAGATTAAATATTGTGATTTCAGGAAACTCTGCATACAGTTATATGTATCAGATATAGAATGTGAGTTCTTATTATTGCTATACTCATTCTGTTGCATTAGTCACATTAACAAAAACCTTGCAATAATTTCTGAATTTATAGTATATTGGCTCAAACTGCAGTTGTGCAGAACCTATAAATATAACTCTGTTAATCACCAGGTCTCATGTTACTCACCGGGTCTCACTTATTAGCAGCAAGAAGCATTTAAGCTACAAGACTTGTCAGAAAAATTTAGCAACAAATGTAAGAAGACAAATTTGTAAGAAAAGTCAATTAACTAGTTAACAGTTGATTCATCAAAAACTTTAAAGAATATAAACGATAACACTACAATGTACTTGAAAAATTCATTCTTTTTAAGCCTTAGTCCAGGAAATAGACATATTATGCAAACAGTGATATATATTATACTAAACATGCTAAAATAAATCAAATCAAATAAAAAAAACTGAAATATTAATACATATGCATAATTTTATTTGGAACATAATTGTGTGTGTATTGCATCATTTTTGAAATGTCATATGATATATTGTTGTTTGAAGATTAAAAGTAATTAAAGTTGAAATTCAAGTTACTGATTTACAACAATGATATATTAAATACTATGTAATGTATAAAGTATCGATGGATAAACATGATAAAAGCAAGAATACATTTATTTTAATGATTAAACAAGCATTCTGTGAGTATTGCCTGACAATACATAATCCACTACCCGTTAAAAATTCATTGTACTGGAACAAAATGCTAACTTGATCTATAACTTGTCACGGTGTAAACTATATAACAAATATTAAGTCAATATCTTCAAGCATGACGAAATTAAAGTGGGAAATAGATTATTTGAGTGAATTTTCTAAGTCCAAGGACCATAACTCTACACAAAATCATTAGACCAGACCAAAATTTGAACTTGATCTGTAACTTGTCATGATAAAACTATATACCAATCATCAGATCAATATCTTCAAGCATGACAAAAAAAGAGCGGAAAACTGATCATTTGAGTGAATTTTCTAAGTTTAAGGACAATAACTCTGCACAAAATCATCAGACCTGAACAAAATTCGAACTTGATCTGTAACTTGTCATGATAAAACAATACACCAAATATCAAATTAATATCTTCAAGCACGCAGAAAAAAGTGTGGAAAACTGATTTGCCAGACTTACGGATAGACAAAGTGCAAACCTAAAGTCCCCTTCGACTTCGTCGGTAGGGGACTAATAAGACACAAATTAAGTTAGAGGAAAAGGGGAACCCATGCCCTATAAACATGACAAGTGCGTGTTTAACATCAGTATAATGAAATATTTATAATCATTTTGATACATGTACAGAATAGAATAGAATAATTATAGAATAGAATGTACATTTAAAAAATGCACTTAAATGCATGTTTCTTTGTTTATTTGAATTCATAAACATACCTGCCAACTTTTCAAAATCTTCATGGGAGATTTTAAGAGCAAGAGGAACTAATGCTCCTCTTATATTGTCATAAGTCTTTTTAATCTACTACGATATTGTTTGAATTGTTTGAATGGGTATGCATGTGCTTACATGTATATACATTTTTTGTATCCTTATTACCAGTCAGGGATATAACTCTATAGGGTTATTACAGAAAAATAACATACATTTGTTATTGTGGACTAAAAAATCAAAGAACTGTGATAACATATGTATGTTACATGTTTCAAAGGGACAATATACATCACTAGTTTAGTTAAAATGCATACAAGTTCTATTGATATCACTATTGTCTTTATGTATACTTAACTATAGAAAGATATAACAGTTTATAGTTTGCCAATTTTGCATAGTACACCTATATGTTATTACAGAAAAAATATGCCTGTAATAACTAAAGGGTGTTATCACAGCTTCTCTATATCACTCCAAAGCATTTTCTCTGACATACATCATGCTTAATTACAATGTATTTTAATTTATTGTAAGAAATAATGACCAGAGCATGTAATGAGGTTCTGCGCAAGCTTCCCAGTAATTCCCAAGTGTCTCATATAATAAGTTACATTCCTTTAATAACTAAGCTATGTTATTACAGCTAAGTTTATCCCTTAAAAGCCTCGTCTCATTGATTTACCATGGTTAATCAAAAATGTATTAATTTAATTAAAAAATTAATTATCAAGGTTATGCATTTAGTTTCTGCGCAAAGTCTCAAGAGTTCCCTAGAGCCCATTATAAATAAAAATATGTTTGATTTATTTTACAAATAACAAACATATGTTATTGCAGATTTAGAAAATTTAAGGAATAAAGAGTAGACAACTCATGAAAGTGTCTGTAATAACACACACAAGTTATTTTCTGTATAATTACACCTTATATAAGAAAGCCAGATTTTGTTTCGTTGATAGCCAGTGTATTTTTCGCATATTCTAATATTTTTTCCTCATTTCAAACGAATTTGCCTGTTTTTTCACCACTGCCAGTGAATTTGCCATTTTGGATATTCCTTTTTTACCCTCTCAAGCATTTTCCCGCCAAAATTTTTCGGATATGACGTTACATAAAAAAGCGAAATAACGCATACTAGTACATGCTTAATTCCCGTGGTTCTATGATAATATCCTCTTATCCTCAAAATTATTCATAAATATGTTAATGAATTAGTTTCAATTCAAATCTATTTGGTGTAATTAAACAGATATACATGTATCATGTTATGGAGGGGTATTTGCGAAAAATACCAGTCTTGGGACCGAATTTCCCCCGCCTAGCGGCTCGGGAAATTTTACAGTCCCTTGACTGGTATTTTTCGCAAATACCCCTCCATAACATGATATATCTGTTCAATAACCCTATAGAGTTATATCTCTGACTGATTACTCATTTGAATGCCTGTTTTGAGGTGTTTAGTTTATATAATAAAGAATTTAAAAATTCAGGTCAACACCTCTCATGGGGAAATCCCCCATAAATAGTGAAGGCTGGCAGGTCTGCATTATTAGTTTAAAGAATAGAATGTACATTTAAAAAATGCACTTTAATGCATGTTTCTATGTTTGTTTATGTGAATTCATTAATAGTTAGATTCTTGATGTTAAATAAATTTGTTTTCTTGTTGATTCTTTGCACTAAATAAGTCTTCCTGTAGCTTCTTGATGCTTCAATTCTTGTGGACATCACACGTTCCCATAAAATTATTATGTCACATGAGAAAATGTATGCTACGACAAAAGAAAAGTTATTGTTGTATGTTCAAGTGTCCCTAATATCCATTCCCAAATAGCAATTGTTGTATGTTCAAGTCTGCCTGATACATGTATGCATTCCCAAATAGCAATAAGCTGATAAAGCCTTAAAGGTCTGTAGTTAATTTATTTTTGTTTGTTAACAAAAAGGGTATCATACATTTATTCAATACATGTATTAAAAGAAGCATGACATTCTTCTTACGTTCAATAAATTATTTAAAACATGTCAAGAGTAATATAATGAGACTTTAGTTTATGTCTACTGCTACTAGTAAAACAACTTTAAATTTTTATAAATGTAAAACTTGTTTGTGCATGACAGATCTAGAGTCTTAGTTGAATGATTGAAATCTAGTATATAATGATCACTTAATGTAATTTGCTATGTTCTGCAGGTTGCTTTGATAAATTAGTCAATCGAAAAATGCTAGCTTAAATTATTTAGAAATATCCGTGTAGTTTTCTCAAGCTAAAATACCTTTCGGTTTTGGTTGTTGTCCCGCGGTAGCCATTTTCAAACAAATATCTCTGTCAAAAATAAATATCTCAACTCCGAACTCAGAACAAAGTAGTCGCGAATATTAAAAGGGACACAAATAAATTACGCCAGCTATATTATAATCTTTGTTAGTTCCAATAAAAAGTGAAAAAATGAAATAAGATGATTATCAAATAAAAACTCGTTATTGCTGAGGTCAATGATTCATTTATATACTATATAAATATTTGCTGAGTTTAAAGAAAAATCAGTTAAAAAAAAATAATTTAAAAATGGTTACTTTTTTTCAAATGTAGCTCTTGATTAGGTGATATGAAACCTTGTTGCTATGAAATGTTAGATACAGCTCCACATTTTGCTATTTGCTCCGTCTAAAAATAAATTGGTCTCTGCAATATACAAATAAATCCATGGCGTACGCGTAAGTATACACTGAGACTACTATAACACAGTGTTATAGTAGTCTCAGGTATACATTACAGCTGATATCGAGTTCATTTGTTTTTTTCCTGAAGGCGTGACCAATCCATGTCCATCTTTTTAATTTTTATTTCATCTCTGATTTCTCTTTGTATGGTCAATGTATATAATTTCTTTTTAGTTATTTTGTTTTGGCCAAAAGATAGTGCAGCCAATGTGTTTGTGTATCATTCACCCACATTCTTAGCTGCAAAGCAAAACAGGTTTTACGTTATTGTTATAAAATTACGATTTTTTTTTTTGCAAGGAATGGTGATCGCCAAATTGGTATTAGTAGGGAAAATATAAACAATATACGGCCTTCGACATGGAGCCTTGGCTCACACCGAACAGCAATATATAATGGGCACAAAAAAAAACTAGTGTAAAACAATTCAAACAGGAAAACCAACGGTTTAATCTATATAGAAAACGAGAAATGAAAAACACATATGAACCACACCAACAAACGACAACCACTGAACAACAGGCTCCTGACTTAAGACAGGTGCATAAAAATGCAGCGGGTTTAAACGTTTTAATTAACAGGCGCCAACCTTCACTTTAACCTTTTCACCACGAATGTGACCTACCGAATTAGACTATTTACCGGATTTGTAATAACATGAGCAACACGACGGGTGCCACATGTGGAGTAGGATCTGCTTACCCTTCCGGAGCACAGGAGATCACCCCCAGTTTTTTGTGGGGTTCGTGTTGCTTAGTCTTTAGTTTTCTATGTTGTGTCTTGTGTACTATTATTTGTCTGTTTGTCTTTTCATTTTTTAGCCATGGCGTTGTCAGTTTATTTTCGATCTATGAGTTTGACTGTCCCTCTGGTATCTTTCGCCCCTCTTTTCTGAAACAGTGGTATAACATTACAACATAAAAAGACACACACTAAAATATCAATTGAAATGGCTTAACTCGATCAAAAAGACATACACACAAACAAATAAATATACACCAAACGAATAAGTTTGATCTATGACACAATATAAATAAAAAGATGTTCCAAGGTCAAAAAGACAACTTTAACCTAGGACAAAATGGCGTTAAATAAAGTTACGTACACAGGTAAATTTAAATATGATGATTTTGTTGTTAGTACAGAAACATTTTTTAACAAAATGAATTTGTTATTCATAGTACGAGTACAGAAGTGGATTTTTTTTACGTCATACTAAATAATTATCAAAGGTTGTACATATTAAAAATAGTAAGACGAGATGTAACACAAAATAAGTAAACACTGAATAACAGAAATGCATTACAAATTGTGTCAACAGGTCAAATTAACACGCAAGTACGATTTGAGAGTACTCGCAGTTACTGAAAGCTAGTTAAAAGCCAAAAACAATTAATAATAAACAATCATGCATCAGAGACTAAAATCAATTAAAACACATCCCAGGCAGAGATTTAGTGTTTTAACGCCATGAACAGTCAAAGAAGACATGACTTGTGCAATGCCAAAATACAAGTAACGACAGGCAGTAGGATAGTTAGGATTTAACCTTATAACAATTTCTAAATAGAAAATAAACGTGGATGTGTATATATACATCCCAAAAATACATTCGAAAAGAATTCAAATTTAGTTATGTTTTAATTTGTTGATGACAAAATCGAGGGTAGTGCCAATGAAAACATGAAAACAATATCCAAAGATCTTATTACAACATTTATAAGATAACATTTACTAATAAGTTTGTTTACACGGATCACATAGTAATTTCCGCGCTTTTAGTACAATATTACCGTAATATTTAGGATGTGAAATACCATTTTTAATAAGTTTTCTACAGGTACAGCCAAATTTACTAATCAAATCTTTGTATCTGTGAAAGAATTTAGTAAATATTTTAAGTAATTTATGGTAACGAAATCCCTGACTTATTATAATAATTATAATAATTTACCAGTGATACATTGATTACGTTCGTTAAAATCTATGATATCACTACACACACGGGCATATCGAACGAGTTGGGATATACTGTATAAACACCGTATGATGGAGCCAAAGGAACATCGCCGTCTAAACAAGGAAACTTAACAATAGGGAATGAAAAATTGTCTCTTTTGTCGTAAATTTTTGTATGGAGTTTCCCTTTAGAAATTGAAATGTCTTAATCTAGAAAAAGACAACTACTGCTGTTTATGTTAGATTTATTTAAAATAAGTTCCTTTGGGTAAATTTCGGTAGTATATTTAGAGAACTCTGGATTATCTAATGAAAAAAAATATCATCAAGATAACGGTAGGCATTGTTAAATGTGTCAACTAAATGTAACAATGACGTTTCTTTACTGATTTGGGCCATAAACTGTGGTTCATAGCAATATTGGAATAAATCTGCTATTAAAGGGGCGCAATTAGTGCCCATAGGAATACCTACTACCTGTCGATACATTTTATCGCCGAAACGTACATATATGTTGTCCAGGAGAAAATTTAAAGCTTCAATTATATCTTCAAATTTCCAGTAAGTGTATCTAGCATTGTTTCCTTTTTCGTTACAGAAAAATGCTTTAAACAAGCTACAGCAAATAAATTTGCAATGTGATTTTTCAAAAGACCATTTGATTAGATATGAAAACTTATTCTTGACTCATAAGATTGTGTGGAAGTGTAGTGTAGAGAGTAGTAAATCTTAATTGTCAACAGAATTAAAAGGACCATCAAAAGCATGTATTTTATCTAAAACTTCTAAAGCATTTTTAACACTCCAAAAATAATGAATACCATTATTTTCATGAACTTTACTACAAAAGTTGATAACAAGTTCTTTGATAGTAGTACGGGAGGTAGTTAGAAGCACCGACATATTAGTAGTAGAACACTTACTAGATGCGGATATGAAACGAAATTTAAATGGTTGTATGTGTAATTTAGGTAACCAGTACATAGAATGTAGAAGACTATTGATAATTTCGTTTTGGAGAACTTCCGTGTAGTATATGCGTCACACCACCACTAAATTATTGGCTGCTTTGTTTGCCGGTACGAACACAAACCGCTTTGCGAGTACTTGGAGTTTATTTTTTATTCTAGAAATGGGTATATCATGAACCCTATTATTAATTTCAGAATTGTTTTCAAAATGAGATATACGAATATCAAAATTATTCATAATTTTATTCAAATAACTGTCTAGAGATTTTTATCAGATTTTTCACGTTTACACCAATTTTCACAGTAGGCAGACAGAGCGTCTTAAATGACCTGACGACACTGTTTCAAGTTTGTTCATGTGCTGATGTTTTTGCTAGTGCTACGACACTGTATATATGTATAAAAGTAAGTATGTGAAGTTTTCTTTTTCTTAGATCTTTTTGAGTTTTGTTTGATTAGAAGTCGGTTGTCATAAATATTGTTTTCTGTATGTATACATTGTGTCCAGACCTTAATTCAAGTGAAACGTTTTTCAATTTGTTGTTTTCCTTTGCATTATGACTCTGTTGCTATATGATAGGTACTTTTCGTCTTTAAAATCAAAGTTTTGTGGAAAATAGTTAAATGTCCATTTCATTTTGGTGTCGATTCCTACGTTAACTTTACACTAGTCGACGATTGTCATTAAGACATTTCTTTGTCTGACAGTCATTAATACTGTTTACTTATGTTTTGACTGTTTATCACGTCCTCTTACACTAAATCCATTGGATGTATAACTATTAATTCTTTAGCCTGGGAGAACATGATTTATTCATAAGCTTTAATTGACTTTGAATCTAACTTTTAGTAACATCGAGTACTCTTATATCGGTACTTAGTGTCTGTTGTTTTTATTTTAGTATTTTGTGCGTTTCGTACCGGTCTATTGAGGTAATCCCTTTGTAACTGATTTTCGCCGTTTGTTCTTATGTTGTGCTGTTACACCACTGTCCCAGGATATGGCCTGCATGAGGAGGGTTGAGCGCTCACAAACAAGTTTAACCCCGCCACATTCTTAATGTGCCTATCCTTAGTCAGGAGCCTGTAATTCAGTGGTTATTGATGGTTCATGTCTGTTTTATTTGTTTTTCTTAAAGTTTATTGTTATAGATTAGGCCGTTAGTTTTCTAGTTTTTCTGAATTGTTTCACATCTATATGTCGTTTTTTTATAGCTACCTCGGACTATACACTATGAGTTGTTCTCATAGTTGAAGGCCGTACGGTGACCTATGATTGCCATAACTTCGTTATTTGAACTCTGGCTGAGACTAAGTTGATTATAACTACAGTAGTCTCCGGCAGACTCGAGTAGATAGTTGTCTCATTGGCAATCACACCACATCTCCTTAATTTTATATAGACAGCTGGCCATTATGTATAACACAGCTTTCATGCTTGCCGTGGAAAATTGTCTATTTTTTTATTTTTTATGAAACTCATATGCTCTTCTGATTTTCCATATGACCCATATGTGTTATCTTATTACACTGTCAAATGCATTTTGTAATTCAATAAAGTTAAGTATCAGCTTGTATTGCCTCTCATTATATATGATGGCATCAGTTACTCTGTTGTTTTTTAGTCTGAGGAATACTTTAGTAAAAATGGAATACCAAGAAGTGATATTCGCTTAATTGTTCGTTACACAATTTCAGATCTTTTTTTTTTTTTTTTTTGCAGTACAGTTCAAATAGCTATAC